TAGGAAACAAAACTTCAAGACCACGGCCACACAGCCCAGAAGACCCACACCAGCCATCGTATGCCGGCTGTGAAAGCCTTCGGCAATACATTAACCTCTCTTTCTTTTCTCTTTACCACTGCACATCAGCACCAGGATCATCAACAGAAATTCTCAGTTACTCAAGTCTCCTGTGCCCTTCCTCTTTGGGCAGAGCCTATCCAAGGACGGTATGGATTCATTCAGCAGGCATTTTGAGAGCATAATGGAGTCACATCGAGCCAAAGGAACCTCTTATACCAGCCTAGATTCCATTGATATCCTGTCCTCCCCAACTCATACGCAAAGTGGAACTGTCTTCACCTTTGATCTTCCTACTTTTACCCCAGAAATTCAGGAGGAAATTCAAGACAGTGCTAAACTCACTGAGCAGAATTTTGCCCCTCTAGCTCTTCTGGAGCCAGATTCTGGAACCAGTTCTGCCACAGATGTTCCTTGGGCTGAACAGGAAGAGGAAGCAAGACAAAAATGGAAAAGTAGCTTGCAGAGTCCCTGCCATTCAGAGGACAGTTTAGGAATTCCTCTGACCTCCATCATAAGGTGAGTGAATAAGATTAATTCCAGATAGTGCATATCTAGTGAAATGTCTTGTGATTGTTTAACTGATCATCTTTCTGTTTTGGATATGTGTTGTCGGACAGAAATTGCTCAAAAATGTGGACTTACTGGCATTCTTTTCCAGTGTTAACTGATCTGTGCAACTAGTGAGAAGGATGAAAAGTATATGTGGCAATCAGAATATTTAATGTTATTTCTACAGTTAGAAGGTGGAGAAAATGTTGCAAATAAAATGGAGGCCTTTTTCCTCTCTGTCATTTAGACATGACCAGGGTAAAACCCAGCTCCTTTCTTTGCCTAATCCTATCAGACCCAAATTGACTCTCCCTGCCCACAGGCAAAGGCCCCTGCAATCCCATTGAAAACAAAGAATAGAAGTCTCCCTCACACCCAAGGGCAGCCCTAACAGGGGAGTTGCAACACAGAGAAATCCCGAGGTTCATCTTCAATCAGGTTGATGACTTCAGCATTCCAGCTCCTTTAACAATGGACTTCCTCAGCTCTGCTGCCTTTCTGCAAGGGTGACAGAAGTAATCCCAGGGACCTGCCTAGCTTCCCCAAAAGTTACCAGCAAATCAGATCCCTTTGATTTATGCTTGTAGCCATCAACTTCTATGAAAATTTTTGCTTTCCCATTGTTTGGGGTCCCTCTTTCTTGTAAAGCAGGCATTAAATGATGTTGCAATAAACATGGTTTCTTCTCCTTAGTGTTGTGCTCTGTACTTCTGAATTTTCCATGACAAGACATGGATCTTTACTATTCTGAAGGTCACTCTTTCTGAAGGGGGGCTGTGTGCTCTGCTTCAAAATAATTAGTGCTCTGTTGATTTTTTTCCTGATAACCAATTTTCTCTATGGAAATTACTATTTCAAAAGTGAGAAAAAATCTACAGAATAACCCAACCTTTCACCATTTCAGTTCTTTTCCCCAATAATTTTTATAACAACAGTAGTTCTCCTGATCTTAAGGTGTCCTTATTCCATTTTTGTAATTTATAAAATATTGCTTGTTTCCTTGCTTCTTCTTGCTGTTGGCATATATGCTTTGTAAAAGCATCTACTGTGCCTGATTTTTAAAAAATTAACCATTTTAGAAATCCCATCTCTTCAGATATTTTCATATTTTTAGACATTTGCAGAAAGTATCTAAATTGAAAAGGAATGTTCAAAAAATGCAAACATATGTTAAATTGTTCCCTTACCTTTTCAGCGCAGCACAAAAAATCCTTCAATTCTTATGTAAATGAAAGTAACACTTTGAATTAAACATCAGCTATGCAGATGTTAACTGTATATCTGTGGATTCCTCAATTCAGTTGCTGAAAAGCAAAAAAGAAGAGGTAACATTTGACAAATGTATGTCTCAAAGGGAATTTCTTTCTGTTCTGGCTAGCAGCTGAGAGATTGGCAGAAAGATATTTAAAAAAAGGTTTTAAAAAACATTTGTTGTAGTTTTGATCCTCCTATGAGCATGTACTGTATGCTTGTTCTCTGAGAATAGATTTAAGAAATATTGTGTACATAGTTATCAGCTAGATAAATAAGTTATGTACTTAGCATATTTGGGCTGAGTTCTTCTGTATTATCTTCTTAATTTAGGGTGGAAATTGTTCTTCTGGATAGCACTTCTGTGTGTTCCATAGTTATTCACTTTCCATAGAATGATTACTGTCAGCTTAAATCAAATAGGTAATACAAATATGAATAGGTAATGATAACTGTGCAGGATGAAATCTAACTTCTCAACACTAGCAGCATGACCATTCAAATACATGTACTATTTCCATTCTGTGATTTATCTGATACAAAATTGGGTTCTCTAGATTTTATCGTTCAGCCTAAGTTGAATACTCCTGTACTGTTGTAATGATGAACTGGGGGTAAGGATGTGGGGAGGGGGTTCCATGTATTGTTTTGGGTTTCTGGAATAAGGATAAGATATAAATACTATGGTAAATAAATAAATAAATAGTAAAGGAATAAAGAATATTTGCCACTTCTCTTGACAAAGTTTTCCAAAAAAAGTTAAAAATGCTTCCAGATTAGGCTTGTATTGTATAATCTTCCTGCCCCTTTCACAGAATTTTAATGTAGGAGACCCAAATATGTTCCATTTTGTTGTATTCCTACTGTTTCTTTTATTTCTACCAGGAAAAAAGAAACATCTTTTAACTGGTAATGCTAAGTCATTTACTAGGAAATATCCCAATATATACAACACCCTCCCCTGCCATAATAGGGTTACTACCTCTTTGGGTTTGGCCTGGAAAGTCTGGGTTTCCATCTCTTGTATCTGGGTTTGATATTATAGTCTACAGAACCCACCAATTATGTGATGAAGCTAGAATCTCCCTCTCACTGCAGGACACCATCTTTTCCCCACACACATGCACCTACAAGAAACCAGAAGGAACTAGACTCTCTCACTACTCAAAGCAGAATAGCTCTGGAGGACAGTGCCAAAGGATCAGAGGAGAGGGCACAGCCACATTACTATAAAGTAGGTTGATCCCACTCCCTAGGGGTCATCTGATATCTATCTATCTATCTATCTATCTATCTATCTATCTATCTATCTATCTATCTATCTATCTATCTACCTACCTACCTACCTACCTACCTACCTACCTACCTATCTCACTTTTATATTTAAAGGGCTGCCCAATGCATAGCAATTCTGGGCAAGCTACAGACTGAAAATGAAACCCTGGTATATTAAATTGATTTTTAAAAAGTTGATCATAATTGTCATACCACAAACATGCTGAACATAATCCAGTGCAGGGGGACACATATCCCAACCTAACCCAGAGCCTGGAGAAAAAGCCGGTTCTTAAAGGATAGCAGGGTTGGGGCCATTTGATTTCCAGGGAGATGCTATTCCAAAGAGCAGATGCTATGACAGGGAAGATACACCTCCTGTTAGATGGCATTGCTTAATAGATGGGACATGGAGCATGCCCATTCTGTCAGATCTTATGGAATGTGCAAAAATAATGGGCGAAAAACAGTCTCTCAGATAGCCATGCAATATTCCATGAAGGGCTTTGTAGATGACAGCCAGTATCTTGAATTGTACCCAGAAGCTCACCCTGAAAACCAACATAGCTCATACAGCAGATGTACCAGATATACATATAATACATACATACATACATACATAGTGTGTGCATGTACGTGTGTGTGTGTGTATGTGGGGTATGTATATGTATGTGTGTACGCGCGCATATGTGTGTGTATATGTGGGGTATGTGTCTGTATGTGTCTGTACGTAAGTGGGATAAATATATAACATACCAGATATACATATAGGTATACTGAAATAAGCCCATCATTGCTCACATGACTAGATTCTGGACTAGCTGTAACTTCTGAGACACTTTGGACTACTGACAATGGTCTGTGAAATGTCATATTATATCCATGACAAAAACATGTGTCAGGATAAAACTGCATATGCTTCCTAAGCCCCTACACAGCTGAGGCTGCCTCAAGGCTGCCACAGGTGTGGGCTGGTGATCCAGTGAAACAACATCACAGGAACACAGCAGGAAAAAGAGGCTGCCACGGCATGACTGGATTAGATTCAAGCGAAGAAAAGCGCTCAAAATACAGAAGTGTATCTACTGCTTGAGGAAAGGGTAGGAGCCTTTCAGTAGCAATAGGGAGTTTCTGTATTACAAAATGTTGCAATGTATGAGATACAACAGTTATATAAAAGGAAATATGAAATGAAAAGCTGAGTTTTTGGTTGCATTTTAGGGTTGCCAGGTGAAGGTGGTAACTCTGACTATAAATTATAAATTAGGAATTCTGTGATTAGTCTAGACAAAATTTCCTTTTACAAAAATCAGCAATGGAGGGCTCTAACACAAACAATAACTATCACACCCAGAATGGGGAATTAACACCCTCCCTCATCAATTTTTGACTAAAATATCCTCTTGAACAAAACTTACAAATATTGTTTATAATATTATAAAAACAGTAAAAAGGGCACCAAGTATATGTATAAACCATGGGCATATGATACATCAAGCATCTACAATCAGGCTATGTTGGCTCTACTGGCCAGCAATTCCAAGTATACTGCTCCAGGAGAAGCCTATGGAAGAGAGATAAATATACATCTTTCAAATCTTCTAACATTCAGACTAGTGCACAATTATATCCTCTGGCCTAGTGGTACAATTGTTTTAATATCTTCATTTGAATCAAAGAGACAGATTAGGCCTGTAGTTTGCATACCATCAACCCTTCTGCTTAACAATATCCCTGACCAAGTGGTCTTATGCCTGATGCTGGAAATTCCATGACAAAGCTGTGGTGAGTGGACCAGCTTGGACTTTACAACCTTCATGACTACCACAGTGGTATCTTAATTAGGTACTGGTCCAAAAATCATAGCACAGGACTTATCCTTCAGGTACAGTGGTACCTCGGGTTACGAACTTAATCTGTTCCGTGACTCCGGTCGCAACTCGAATTGGTCGCAACCCGAGGCAAATTTCCCCCATAAGATTGAATGTAAATATGGTTAATCTGTTCTGAAACATATGCATTTTATTTTTAAACCACAAAAACCTGAAAAAAAGTACAGTACAGCACAGTATGAAGAGAGAGAATGGGGTGGGGAGGCAGTTATTGTTTGGAGGGAGAGTCCCCCTCCAAAAGGACATCGGGG